AATTTTGTGCTTGTTTTTGGCTTAGGAAGTTTTTTTTTTTTTTTTTTTTTTTTTTTTTTTAAATTGGAAAGTGTGCACAAAGTTATGATATATTGGGAATTCATTGTCTACTTTCTGAACTTCTGAGTCTTAACCACTTGATAACTGATTCTAGGATCGTATGAGTCAAAAGCAGTACATGGTCAGGAAAGCTGTTAGTGTTAAGAAGTCCTTGTCTGTTTCTTTGAACAAAGAGAAGCTTGAGGAGGTGACAGAAAGCTGATTGTCTTAGCAAAGAGCAGGTGAGTGTGAAGGCTGGAGCAGAAGCTAGTGGATTGTTTTGGAGTTGGATTCATTTGCTTGGGAGTGAGTCTCAGGCTGAGAGTCCTTGGGTGCCAGCCCTGCCCAGCGCTCTGTTCTGTCAGGGAGGCAGGAACATGACAACAAACCGTATGACAAGGGGTGTGGGGCCCCTCAGCTTCACACCCCTCAGCACAGGAATCAAGACTAGGGACTGATGATAGGCAGAGATGAAAGACCAAAAGTATGAACAGCCAGATAACAAAATAGATGTAAGTAACGGTTATCATTAGAGTTGTGTATTTTAAAACCTAATACCTGTGAATTTCACCAGTCAATATTGACCATCTCACTGACACCCTGCTCGCAAAGCCATCATTTCCAGGATTCACTTAGCCATTCCAAATATCTGAGCAGATTCAGACAACTGCATTTCTTAAATGAACAGATAAACCTCTGGTTCTCTCTTTAATACCAAATGGAGATGGTATTGCCCACTGAGACTAAGCATAGTCTGTCAGTGCGCCAGTGAGAGTCATCATGTCTTTTGGTTTATTAAGCCTGGAAGGAATTTTTGAACTACAAAAATAAGAAAATTCACAAGATCCTAATAGCTAAAACATTTTTCCTGTCTGTGAAAATTCCAAAGAAGTCATGTTTTGTGGTGATCTTTTTTTTCTTTAGACTGTTTCAGGCAATATATAATGAGGCTTCTCTCCTTTCACTCATGCGCAAATGCAATTTTGTACAGAAAAGGATAAAAATATGTTTTTAATTTTTTTCAAAAGGTTTGTTTCTGTAAAATAGACATCATAAAACCCCACAAAGCATCTAGTGATGTAATTTTGAAATAAAACTTGTATGTCCTATTATATTCATATAAATTTATTTTAATTTTAAGTAATGAAAATAAATTTCATTTAGGATCACCTACTTAATAATTTGTTCTATAGAAAATTGTAACAATAACCTGCCTTGGAAAACATGAGTCCAAGAATTTCACCTAAGAATTACTTCAAGAGTGTCCTTTCTGGTTGAGCTAATGAATGCTTCTTCAAGTCACAGCCAACCTGTGAAAAACTGAAGCAACAAAGAATCTTTTCTATCTTCTGGTAAGTTGTACCAATTTACTCCCATGATTAAAAGTCTGCACCTATTCCATTCTGCATAGGTCACCAGCATTGAGCCTTTTGATCTCATAATGCCTTTGTCTGCTAGACTTGAAGAGCTATCAGAAATCTCCTTGTTGTATATGCTTATAGACACTGATTATATCATATCTTACACTTCTTGTTGATAGAGCTGAAGAGATTGATCTCTTTAAATCTCTGTATTAGGAGGAAATTTTTTTTTGAGGCCTCAAATTATTCTTTTGGCTATTTTTCCTGAACCTTTTCTGTTTTCTTTTTTGGGAAGGATGGATATCAGAAGTTGGCACAGATGTTACAATATGAAAGGGATGCAAAACTTTGTGGTAAGATTCATGCAAATTAGTTACAAATAATTGTTTCCCTTTTCATCTGAATCCATCCAAGCACCATATTGCTCTCACTGAGACTTTTAACAGTATGAGGTTTGTTATGATTAATTATGTAGCTGATTATGGTCCGATTACTTCGTTCAAGTTGTCTGGACTGAGCTACTGCTAGTAACAGTAGTAAAATCTTCAGAGTGTTGTATTAATCTTTAATAGATCTGTAATACCCAGGATGCATATCAATGGTATTTTAGGAATGGCAATTACCACTATATTTTTCAATATTATAATACTTCTGTCCCAAAAGTATTTTAGCTAACGCATTTATATGACATTAAGTAGGAAGTCTCCTATGATTCATACTCATTGTAAATAGAAAACTTTTTTTAATATTTCAGCAAATAATCCTAGAGAAATTAGGCATCTGTGGATTGTAAAGATCTGAATTAGTGAAAGTAATTTCTGAAAGCATATCCAATGTCTTACAGCTTCAGAAGGCAAAGTTCCCTGTGTAGGATTCATCACTGCTTTATAGCTTGCTCGAGTAGATCATATGGCCTTGGTTGGGCTCTGAATCAGTTCCTAGGCTGCAATTCCCATAACATGTATTTAGAATAAAATGTAAAAAAGTGACTTCTTAACTTCAGGTAGCTCAACCTGCCTGTCTGTCCTTGTTGTAAGCAAGCTACCTTGCTATGTACATATTTCTCTAGTTCACTCTGTCACCCATAGGATCATGTCTAGTATAATATTTGTAATATTATGAGAAGTTCACAGCTGCTCTTGGCTATGATCAGTGGATGTTATACTGGTTTCAGAATTATTTTCTAATATTGTCCTAAATTTCTCCTGAAGTATCTGTAAGAGGATATTCTTTGCGTCAGTCACATTTTGTGTTTGGGAAGAACAAGTAGGCTCCCGTGCAAACTGCTTAGGGTACGTTTCAGGTACATGTTTTGGCCCCTGGACCTAATCTATATCCAGTTACAGCAGCAAAATGTCAGGCAGGTTGATGCTTCCTCTTGTCTGTTTTTATCATGGTTACGTGATAGGTAACTTTTCCTCCCTCCAAAAGAAAATAGTCATAGAAGTATTTAATAAAAAAATGGGGGAAAATGCTCTGAATAAAATATTTGTTTTATTACAATAGCAATCCAATACAAGATTAACCTTTACTGCATAACAAGGCCTTTCTAATGGATGTCAGACTGGCAACGATCTCCTAACAGCCATTGCATCTTCTCTTTGTTCTCAGCAAGGCAAGTGAAGTTTCTTTTAATCTCTTCTCATGTGATGGATCTTCCATTTCCTTAACTGTTCTAACACCCTTTCTTTGTTCTCGCATTAATCTTTCTGGAAGATGGGTGGTATCATTACATAAAGCACTCCTGAGTTTTCACTAAGGGTTTTTATTGAGGCTTAGTCGAGTGGTCTGTTTTCAATGAAAAGATTTGTCCTGTTTCATCTTAGTATCACGCTTGCTTTTTTCCCCATGGTTGCACCACAGATCAGGCTGTTAGCCATCCTGTGATCGGCCACACGTAGGCTTTTTCCCTCCTCAGCCATTTTCAACCAATGAATCTTAAGCTTATAGCAGATGTAATTTCTGAGAGCGTGATCTCCTGCCTTGCACTGTTAACATGTATCCCATACTGATTGCTCTGTCATTAAAATTCTCCATTTCTTCCTAAGATCCTCTGATCTGCCACTGATCTTCCACATTGCATTACAGTCAGTTTATATTAACATAGTGTCTGGGGTTTGTGGAAATGCTGTTAACGTAAACACTATGTGAAAATACGATCTCAGAAAGAACCCTTGGGGGCCTCCACAGCCACTGGCATCTCTAAGGTAGTCAGCTCCTTGACTAAGATCTTTTTTCTCTACCTTGTGTACTGCTTAGTCTCATTGAATCCTAGGTAGAATGACCTGTAGATTATCATATATATATATATATATATGTAGTTTTATATAGAACAGTAGTGGTTTATATTTAAAAAAAGCTTATGTTTTGTCACATTTTCTGTTTTCCCTTTAGCATTTCATTCAAAACATTCAAGAACTTTGCATGCTGCAGATGTTTGACTAATTGGGAAGTAGTTGCTTGGATCACCTGTTCTGCCTTCTAAATGCCAGTAATGAGTCTGTCTCATTTTAAGACTGGAATCAAAAGATTAAATATATTACAAATTTCTGGTTTCCGAACAGGAGACTGAGGTATCAAGATGTTTTAGAATCTGGAGCTGTATACTGTGAGGTTCCCAATTAGGTTGTGTTGGCCTCTTCAACCTTTGCCTCCTACACATCATTCTTTTCACATGTACACCAATGACTGATGTTAATTTGCCAGTCAGCACATGAACCTGCTGCACACCCTTACTGAAAATTGAAAAAGAAAGGGATTTTTTTTTTATAGATTGCCTTTAATCTCCTGTCTCATTTTCACTGCCATGTAGTCCCAGTTTTTCCCTTTTCAAAAATCTTATTGTCCTTTCTATGATTTGGTTCAAATTGATTTCTGGAAGTTCTGGCTTTCTCCTTTCACATTTTACACTTGTAAGTTGTACCTATCTCTTCCAACTTCACACCTTTTTAAAGCCCTTCTATAGGTTCTTCATTTTCACAATTAGCTTTCTTTGGGGTGGTTATTCCTTTGGCACCCATTTTTACTGAAGTCTCTTTGCTTGGTATTCAAGTTTTAGAAACAGTAAACTATTTACAAATTATATAAATTCTAGACCTTCATGTTCAAGTTCGTAAGTTTTTCAGCCCAATTATTTTCAGTAAGTAGTTACCATAGTTACTCAAAGGTTGTTCTTCTAAAATCAAGATTGAGCCCAATGTTTGTTTACCATTCCATTTAATTTAAATTGAATCATCTTATGTACATTCACTCAAAGGTTATTTGATCAACTCTTTTGTAATGTCCTTGTTGCAAATCAAAACCACAGTCACAATAGTATCACTTCATGTGAATTTGCTAAACATTTGGAAAAGAAATCTGTCGGCTCTCACACTAATGAGTGTATGAATGCTACCACTAACAGGAACATTTATTTTCCCATCTCTGTCTGGAAGGTTAGTTCCTATATGGATACAATTTCTAGAAGCCATCAAATTTAAAAAAAAAAAAAAAAAGTAATCAAATCAGAACCTAGGATCCTCTTGAAAATCTTGAGCAAACTCATTTGTTTGCTCATCATTCCCCAAAATTTTTTGGGCTCAGATAAATTCTGTTCTGTCTGTGCTACCTATATTTCTTTAACATATTGTCTCCTTGTTTCATAACAATAGTGTATCTGTGTTTCTGCATTTTATTTCTGCAATTTATTTTTATCACTTTTCATTATTATTAACTTTAGATGTTTTCATCAGTGTCTTTTATTAAATGATGCATTAGACATATGGGTTAATTATTAGTTATTCAGACAGCAATCTCACACACAACAGTAAAATATTTCACTTACATCACATTGGTATATATTCCTTTTCATTTTTTTTCTTTTATTAGTTATATTTTTTTTATTTTATTCTTTAGGGATAAGCTGTATTTCACAATTCCAACTATAAATGTTATACTTCTGTGATGAATTCCAGTCCTTGCCTCTTTATACGCACTGGTAGTAATTTTAATAACGTTATTTCTTCAGTGGCTTGTGTGCCCCAAACTGCATCTGTTTCTTTCCTCGCTTTTACCTGAGTTGATGAACGATACTTACACTGACTTCATTATGATAGAATGAGAAGTTTGCAAACCACAACAATTAATACGAATTCCAAACTAACTAGTAAGGAATAGTAAATTTATTTTAGTGGGTCAAGAACAGATTTTACCAGGTTGCAATAGAATTAGTGGAAGATTACCTGTCCTCTAGAAATCCTGCCCTTAGCTCCTCCAGACAGCGGCTTGAAATCTTAAATCTCTGCTGAATGCATCCTGTCTAGAGGGTGACAAGGAACAGCTGTCATGGTTCAACTCGAGCTAATGCAGTCAAGCGTTTTGAGAACAAACCAGTATTTTGCACTGCAGTGGGGAATGAGAGATGTATCAGACACCAAAAGAAAATATTTCGTATTGATAGGAAAATGTAATCATTGCATCAAAATTCACACCCTTCTAATTCTAAAGAGTAAAACATTTGTAGCAGTGTATGCCGAGTCTAAATTTCTGGAGATCCTTCTCTATTACCATCAGGGAGAGAAAAAATGAGTTCTTAAAAATTGTCTGAATTTTATCTTCATAATCCTAGCAGGTTCAATTAGTCGAGCAACCTGTTTGCAGAGTATATTTGGACTTTGCTTGACAGGCATGTTATATTTTTACATTGGTCGCTGGGTTTAGTACTAAACTAATATGTAAGTTTGTTTATGCTGTGTAGGAAGGTTGCAGTGGCCATAGCCAATCCAAAACCTGACAGTAATCCACCTGATGGTGGATAATTTATAAGTCATAAATGAAAAATAAATCTTGTAACTGAATCTGTCCTTTACTGTGT